AGTCCAGGTTCTCCAAATCTTTCTGAACAAGTCTCTCATATTTCAAACTTGTAAGTAAACAGCCAGGCAAGGCGTGTTGGTTTATCTTTGTTTTCTCAACTTGTAAATGTACCTTTTGCTAGAGTGTTTATCTCTGTTTGCTGTAACTTTGAACCTAAGGCTAGAAGGGATTCCTCTGAGCTCTTTAAGTTTGATTACCCTGTAAAGTTATTTTTCCATCCTGATTTTACAGAGATGATTTTTACCTTTTTCTTTAATTAAAAGCCTTCTTTTAAAAAACCTGATTGATTTTTTCCTTGTGTTTAGATCCAAGGGGGTTGGATCTTGATCCACCAGGAATTGGTGGGAGGAAGGAGGGGGGATGGTTAATTTCTCCTTGTTTTAAGATCCAAGAGGTTTGGATCTGTATTCACCAGGGAATTGGTAAAGAGTCTCTCAAGGCTACCCAGGGAAGGGAATTAGCTTTGGGAGTGGTGGCAGCAGACCAGATCTAAGCTGGTAGTTAAGCTTAGAAGTTTTCATGCAGGCCCCCACATTTGTACCCTAAAGTTCAGAGTGAGGAAGCAGCCTTGACAGCCTCAAAGCAGCCTAGACTGCACTATGCTACCTCTGCCCTGCTCCCATCCTGGCCACCAGGAATCTGCTAATGGACATTGTGTGGGTGGGACAGAAGGTTTGGGGGGCCCCCCTCTTCTGTTGACTCTACACAGCTCCTGTTCTAGAGGAATTCTCCTCCAGTGTCAGAAACTGTGATGGGGATGGTTAGGCCTAATGGTTGGAGCTGGAGCAGTCATGCCTAAGAGTTGGAGTCAGATTCAGTAGGCCAGAGCAGAGCTGGACTAGGAACAGGGCTGGAAGGCAAGCGCAAAGCTGGAGCTTGCTAAGGTTCATGGAGTCTGTTGCTACTGTCAGGCAGGAGCAAGTTTCAAGCCCTGGCATGAAATCAAGCAGACTGAGCTGCTTTTTCTCCTGTGAGGCTTATATACCTGGTCTGGGAGTCACAAGACCAGTTTCTGCCTGGTGGATTGTCTGGAGCCTAGCACAGGAGTGACTCATCATCTTACACCCAGTTACTTGTGACCTCTAATTGCTGCTGAGGCTGGAACAGAAGCAGAATCAACCTCAACATTTCCATAGTTTCTTTAAGGCATATCCAACAGAACCATCTTCCAGTTTGGCAGAAAGCATGAAAAAGTGTAACTGTGATTGGTGTTACCGTGACTGGAAAATGGAGCAGAGGGTAAGCAAACTGAATGTTTTCATGTTCTTCATGAATTCCATACAACGTTGATCTCTTCTGCCCACGGACTCTACTGCCTTAAGGCTCATTCATGCAGTCTTTACACACTCCCACATGCCCCTAAATGTAAGGGATAGTTTGCTTTTTAAAAGAGTCTAAGATTGCGCTAGTTAAGGGAAAGAAAAAAAAATAGGCTGAGGGCTGTGTGTGCAAGGGGATTCGCCTACAGGATTTTGTTCATGTCCATGTGTGCTTTATGTTACTCTTAAATTTGATTTTCAAAAAAAATATTTTTACACCTGGCCACTCGATGCAACATCTCACCTCATTTAGTAACGCCCATTAATTGGAGGTCGAGGGCTGTGTGTTCAGGAAGGATGCTATCTCCTCTGTGAGAGCCAGGACTGTAAACCTACATTGAAGAGAAGGGTGGTGGTTAAATTGTTGAAAACCCTTTCTATAAAACAGCATGTATCGTCCCAGAGGCCCTTCAAATACTCTTATATACAGCACTGGAAATCTACTAATGCATCTGTCAACCTGAATGGAATAAGGGTCTATTCACTGATCCTATGTGGGTCTATGTTTGAGAAATTTGCACAAATGTTACATTGGTACAAACTCCTTATGCAGACATGCTGAGCCAATGTAAAACTGAATGTACACCAGTAATTTTCTGGATTTAGTAGTACTGGTTATAAACACATCTACATTAGGGATTTACATTTGTAGGTGCACTGATTTACTTGCATCAGTGCAAATTTTTCTAATGTAGACAGGGCCATTGAGTCCTCCTGGTTTAACAAATATGGTAGAGCTTGGGCACGCTTGATCATGAACTCTTGGTGATGAGCTTTACCTCAATCAAGTACAGTAGACCATTAATTCCTTTCTTTGTCTTCCCACACATAAACCACCTAGTATTTCTTGGATTCTGGGTACATGTGTCTTTCAGATTTCATTCTCTATAATGAATATTCATGTCTGGGATGGTTATTATGATTTGTTTCATATCAACTGTAGAATACATGAAGAGGGTCAGAAGCAGCAGCAAGAACAGCAGAGATGCTCCCTAACAAAATTAATGCATCCCTCAGAAAGCAGCAGTATTTTCAGTGTATTCTCTTCAGACTCGGGCATATGGACTTGTAAATCGAAGCAACATGCTGCAAACAGTGAGGCATAGCTTCCTTATTAATTATCGCTTCCGAACCAGGTGGGTATCCTTCATAAATTCAGCGCAGGATTTATTTGAGATTAGCGTGATCTTAAAATCACTAGCAGGAACAAAGCCATTAGGATGGCAGGGTTTATATACTATTGCACTTGTCTGTAGAAATAACGATTCTGTGCTAGGACTGTGTGATCTAATGATCATCTTGAGACAAACGTGAAAGTTATCAGTGGTGGTGATAATGAGAAGAAGGAGTACATGTTACACAGAGGAAGAGTTAAAATATTACTGTTGAGGAAGAACAGGCTTAGGCTAACCCTTGCTCTAGGGTGACAGTCTGTCCTGCTGATGACAAATTGGGGTGGGAAGGATATACATGGTACTTTAGATTGCGGGAAAGCAGGTTAACCTGGCAGGCCCTCCTGAAAATATCTAGGGAGGGGAACAGGAATGCATGACCTCAAGAAGGGATTAAGTAGCCCCCAAAAACATTAAGAGGACTTTTTCATACACCAGCTACTAGGTCCTTATCCTTCAGAAGACAGTGAAAGATAGAGACCTGGTTCATGGCTTCAGACTGGACCCATGAACATCCCATGCGTTTTCTAAGAGAGTTCCATGCACTTTCGCTATTTTCACAATAACTTTTGCAGTTCATTCCACTCTGAAAGTCAAAAGTCAGATTTGATAGTTAAGAACCCATGTGATCAAAGTCAGAGAAAATATTCAAACAAGCCATTGTGAAATGAAATTACTGAGAGCCAATAACTCACAGCCACTGGTGATGGACTGCACACCTGCTGTCTGGGCTGAATATTCAAAGATTCTGACTTTATAAGAGTAAATACATTTGTAAACAAAATGTGCTCCTGTGAGTAACAGATGTACTGTTAATAAGCAACCGACAACAGGAAGATAGATCATAGAGTCATCCCTAGCATTAACTCCACTTTCTATTAAGATTCCAAAGCTGATTATGCAATTCCCAACCCTTGTCATATTTGGGGGAAATATACACAACCAACTAGAGGGACTCTTTGAAGAGCTTTGAAAATTGGGCCTTCAGAAATATAGGGAGATGGACTCAGATCCAGAATGTTCCTTCTCACTCTACAGCTGTGTGAAACTCAAAATCCACTCTTCCTTACTTTCTCATATATTGATATGAGCAGGGATTGTGTCCTGCAAGGTATGTCCCCCACCTCTGATGTCACCCATCTGTCTGCTAGATGGTCTGCTCTCCCATCTTTTGTCTGTAGCGGTGTGGGATCTACCAAGGGGAACCTGTTCTCGCAGACCAAAGAATCCAGCTAAAGGAGAACAGTCTCCCTGTCTGTCCTCCTGTTCATTTTAGTGTTGGCCCTACCTATGCCAGGTGTACAGGCCTGTCTGTAATTTAGGGGCCTAGTGCATCAGAGAACATACTGCAGCAGGGACTCTGCTAGTAAGCATTTCAAAGTAGCAGCTGTGTTAGTCTGTATCCGCAAAAAGAACAGGAGTACTTGTGGCACCTTAGAGACTAACAAATTTATTTGAGCATAAGCTTTCGTGGACTACAGCCCACTCCTGTTCTTCTTTTTGCGGATACAGACTAACACAGCTGCTACTTTGAAATGCTTACTAGTCTAGATTTTGATGCAGTATGCTCTCACATGCACTAATAATCTAAATTACAGACAGGCCTGTACACCTGGCATAGGT